TTCGTGAAAATATCTCGTTAAATAAAAAAGTTTTCCGCACAAGGACATGATTTTGATCGTTCAGTTTGTATGAGAGCTATATGCTATAGTGGTCCGCTATCGCCGGCTTCGACAAACGAACAGCTTATTGGGGAGAAAAGGAATTGTGCAGACTGTCAGATCATTATCTCAAGATGTCTCTCTGTGTTTTTCAGTATCAGCAAACATTTTTTTTATGTTGTTAGAGCATTTCTAACGGATATTGTATGTCGGATATTAAACAAGAAATATGTGGTCACACAAGCCTTAAGCCATTTGCTTGTAGCAAATTCGTTTCGTTTATGGACTTTTCAATGCGAAGTGGGTTTTATATTGCCCGCTAACATATGCATGCATACAAGATTTCATAAATGTTCAAGCCAAGTTTCAAACCCGCGCTCTCTACTCCTAGAGTTGCGAGCCACAATTTATTAAATTTTTGGTTTTCATTTGCACTTATTTATATTTAAATTTAATGTAATATCAAATGTTCTACTTCATATGCTACCATACACAGTATTATGTAGCCGCTTTATATGTATTTTAATTATCAGTAGAAAAAACATAATGCAAATGTTTATTAAGAACATAAATATTCATTTAAATAAATAAGACAAGCAAACAATTTAATATTTATTTATCATTTATTGTTTTCGCGATATTTACATGCTTGCGGTTATAAAATAACATAACATACATACCGTTGTGTATGTGCAGGTGTGTAAGCTTTTAATTAGTATGTAATGTTTTTATTATTTTTCCCACAAGCATAAACATATTAGCAGCAAACGTAAATTGAATGAATATTCTACTGTGTCACAATTTATTAAAATTTTGTTAAAACCAAATAAAATAAATAAAGTTTTTAATGAACACAGTTGTCAAAAATATTTATATGTTAGCATACAATTACAAACATTCTTTAGCTAAATTAAATATTAATTACAGTTCACAACCAACAGAATTTACGAAAGCTTCGAAACTCTTTGAGAACCACAACGCTATTCGACGCACATTGTCAGTTGTCAGATTTATATAATCGGAGTTAAACTTTTATATATTTTTATTATTCATTGTGCACAACATAGATTCTTTTGAAAATGCTTTAAATAGTCAAAAAGTTTGCTCCACTTCACAGTTGAAATAATAATAAGGAACGTATAACTTGCGTATACGATTTGATGTTGCTCATACGCCCCGTCAAACATTTTATTTATCATATGAGCACAATAAAATGTCTGTTTTCGTACATATTTAGTTGTTGTAGTAGTATCTAGTGACCACTAATTTTACACACTATTTGTGTATGTATGCGTTCATGTAAGTAGTTATGCGTACAAAATTTATGCATTCTGTTGTTGTCTGCTCACTACTAAATTTTAATTTATATACTTTGGGGCAATTTATAGTTGCATGCATTGTTTTGCTGCGCTTTCACTTCATGCTTTTTTGTTTAAATTTTATTGTTTGGTAATTGTTGTTATGGTTATTGGTGTTGTCATATTTATTACAATTTTAATACATTTTAGCATGAATTTATTATTTTTATAATACGTTTGTTGTTGGTGTTAGTTCCCGTAACTATTTGTATGCCTTTAACGGTATTGTCTGAAAAATGTGTTAATAATAACCAGAAATTATAGAAAATCTGTACATATAATATTAAAAAAAAAAATATAGTATATAAAAAAATATATAAAAAATAATATTGCTTTTATACAGATTAAACTAAGCATTAATTATTGTAATAAAAAAATAGTTAAGAATGGCAGCGTGTAGTGTAGATAATAAATTGTATTTTTGACGTATAATACAATCAGTTAAGAAGGTTGCACTAACATACCGACATTATTATGTAGACTCATACACACACAATAAATTTTCAAAATCTATTAGCCATAAAGTATTGTTAAAAACTTTATATACTATACATCGAAGATAAGAAAAAATATGTTAGCATCAATTCTAGTACTTGAATAAGTCCATATTTCATCGATGCACTGCTGCTGAGTTAATCCACGTCGAAAGTACAATAAAGAAAAAAATCGCGCGAAAATGTTCGTTATTAATTTAATTTTTTGGCCGACATGAATATTTTAAGTTACAGTAAACAACACAAATAGTGCTCCTAGATCAAAATGTTCTGAGTATGTTATACAACAAAAATGTTAAACTTTACAATAAAGTTGTGAGTTGCCAGATTGCAACACTAAGGTTGCCAAATACCGAAATATAAAAGGCAATACATACTTCTGACGAGGATTGCCAATTGTTATATAAATATGATAATAAAGTTATTTAGAAAAGAAGCTTAAGAAGGTCTACAGACGAAAATATTTTTGAGGAGAGTTGCCACCTCGTTACAACTTTTCGATATAAATTTATAACATAAACCCAATATATGTATATACTCATTTCAAGATAAATAAATTAAAAATTGTTTCTGAGTTGTCACCTATTGAAAAAAAATCAAAAAAAAATGTATGATAAAAATATGTCCTTAACAAATAGAAATATTTACAAATTTTTTACATATGACTCGTAGAAAAAATTTAAATTTTAATTAAAATATCGCAGGAAAAACTGTTAAAAAAAGTGTTAAAATAAGTTAATTGGGTATCAAGGCACTGGGTGATAGATTTATGTTTTTTTAGTATTATATTTTTATATTAAGTTTGTCACGAAGTTTGTAACACCTAGAAGGAAACTTCGGAGCCCCTCTAATATATATATACATATATACTTATAATGAGCTGAGTTGAATAAGCCATGTCCGTCTGTCCGTTCATCCGTCCATCTGTATATACGCGAACTAGTCCCTCAGTTTTTGAGATATTAATCTGAAATTTTACATCGAGAAGCTGCTCATTTGACGGAATGGCTGCCATATAACCTAACGATCGGAGTGACGCGCTTGCATTAAAAACTTTTTTATTTGATGAGGTATCGAAATTTGGCACGGAATTTTATCGAAGATATCGCAACAATCTTCGAATAAATTATTTAGATCGGATAACTATAGCATATAGCTGTCATACAAACTGAATGATCGGAATCAAGTGCTTGTATGAAAAACTCTTTCATTTGACGAAGTATCTTCACGAAATTAGATCGAAATCAAGTTCTTGTAAGGAACCTTTTTATTTGTGAAGGGTATTATAGCTTCCACGCAACCGAAATTAACGTTTTTTCTTGTTTTTTAATCCCTTCACACTTCACTTGCTTTTATAGTGTTAATGAGACTCCATTTAATTAATTTCTCCTAATTTTTTATTTATTATAACTTCATTTTTAATTAATTCACCATTATTTTAATAAATTACAATATTTTCAATTTTTTTTCCTATAACACATTAGTAAATTTATAAATGTGTAAAACTATAATGAAATTCCAGCTATCCACAATTGCAAACATAAATTGTCGCATACTATAATTTACTTATTGTAATATAGAATTACAATAATTTCATCTGCACATTTGACTGGTAATTTGTAGTTCACTTGACAAGGGCTCATACAAATTTACAATAAAACGTTATAGATATGCATTTGCAACGGCATTGGGCGCCAATTTAATAGCTCTAAATATGATTTTATTCCTTTCTCAGGTTTACTGAAATATAACCTACGATTAATACCTATAGCATATACTTATATATGTAGGTTATTTTCAAAACTCTATAAGCGTGCATGTGTAGGTGGAGTATACTGAAAGTGTTAAAGGCAAATATTTGCATAACTTTTGATTATTTATGTTAGGTTAGGTTAGGTTATCGTCAACCATGAAAATTAATAATGAAAAAAAATATTTTCAAAACTTCTTTTTAAACAGTTTTTGAGTCCAGCGCTGATCTTCCCCTTAACCCCATATAACGAATATAAGTCACTATGTACTTCCGGCTGACTTTATATCACATTCCAATCAATGTATTAGATTCCTTATTGATCTCGGTCGCAAATTGCATTACTTCTACTACATCCCCTTCTATACCGAAAATATTTATGCCCTGAATAGAGTATACTAAGTTTACAACGAAGTTTGTAACACCCAGAAGGAAACGTCGCAGACTCTATAAAATATATATATATATAGGTATATATGATCAGCGGGACGAGCCGAGTTGATCTAGCCATGTCCGTCCATCTGTATGTATAAATACGACCTAGTCCCTCTGTTTTTGAGATATCGATCTGGAATTTTGCACGCGAAGCTGTTTATTTGTCGGAACCGCCGTTAGTGGAGCACTATGGCATATAGCCATACAAACGGAACGATCAAAATCAAGTTCTTGTATGGAAAACTTTTTTATTTGACAAGAAATCTTCACGAAATTTAGTAGGGATTTTTACCCAAAGCAATGGTACATTTATCGGAAAAAATTATTCATATCGAACTATTATAGCATATAGCTGCTATACAAGCTAACCAAGGAAAGAAAGATAACAAAGCTAACTGTGAAGATTATTATAGCTTCCCAACCACTCGGTTAATCATATCTCTCAGCCCATAATCAGCATGTTATAGCATTTTATACTATTTTTTGAGGTACTTAAAAGTCTTCGTTTCTTTAATAGACAGTAATTATATTAACATAATTTATTATGGTTGTAAAATAATATTGTAATTATTAACAAATTCATTTTTATTTCGCATTTTTATTAATAAATAGTTAACTACATGTATAAAATATAAAGGTAATGAATAGAAAATAATAATTAGGCGAATAAAATTTAACCAAGCTGTAATTGAATTAAATATTTACATTAATTAAGTTTTTAAATATGAGAGAAAATTTTTAAAATTAATGCACCTAATCAATAGTATAGAAAATTTAAAGTAGCGCACATTTTCTCTCCGAAATAATATTTTACATTTTAAATAATAATAATAATGAACTTGATTTTAAATATTTTATTTAATTAATGCATAAAACGTTTAGTGCAGATATTCTTTTCTCTTTTTCTGGTTCTTATTATTACAGGTTTCAGACACCAATAAAAGCCTTCACCTGCCTGACAACAGCAAGGTAAGTGAATTCGCCATAAACACATTTTTTGATTAACTTTTTTCCGATTACTTTTGGTATGCTGTGCAATATGAATATTCGAGTTATTTAAATGTGATATGAATAAATCCAAAAACGCCTATAAAAATGGCAAAATAATTAAACTTAGTGATATTAATAAATTAGTGGCAGACAGACATTTACATACATAATTTTCAATTGGCATGTTTTGCTTGTAAAATAAAAAAATATAATTATACGGCTATTGATATTACAGTTTTATGTTGTTTCAATAATTACGCAAAAGTTTTTATGTCTGCATGTTGAAAATTGGCATCGTGGATTGAACTTCACACTTTAAAAGTCATTTATACAAAATTGGGTAATTTGACAGTTTTATTTAAGTTCGAATTTTATGTCAGCAAAGAGTTTTTGTTAAAGAAAAAAATATATAAGCAATATTCAAAAAGAAATTTAAGCAAAAAATTATAATGTATAACTAAATATTTGTAGAAAAAATTGAAAAAAAAGTTTTTATGTTTAATTTTTATTTGCTTAAAATTGTTGAAAATATTTAATATTGTCTTATTATATCAGCCTCGTAAAATCGTTTTTGTCAAATGAAAAAGCTATTACAGCCGTAGACTGGTATTTTGCAGAGCTTCCGGAAAGTCATTATCGGGATGGCATATAATTATTGGAGGATCATTGGAATAAGTGAAGTTAAAGGAGATTATATTGAATAAAAAATACATTTCGTACCAAAAACAGTAGTTTTTCATTTCGAGCGCAAAAACTTTTCCACCAACCTGTGTATTGGTATTTTTTATGTCGTTTTCTGCGTTATTAGCTATCTCAGCAGCTTTCATGACCGCCAAGATTTCTGCCTGGAAGATACTGCAGTTTTCCGGCAGTGTAAAGGGTCGCCTGAGGAGTAGTTCCGCGCAGTAGAAAAACTTTTTTATTTATTAAAAAATTATCTTCACGAATTTCAAATCTTTTTTTCTTTAATAATTAGCTTTAATTCGCAGATTATTAACGCTTTTGTGTAGCCGAAATTAATTTTTTTCCGCTTTTTTGCTCTTCATTCAATGCTTTATAAAAAGTGTTACAGTGATCGGATTTAGTTAAAATATGCGCCGTTTTGTTCGATGATCTGTTTCCATCTAGACGGCAACTTCATAATACATTCCTCGTAGAAGCCCCCCTCCTTATTTGCGAAGAATTCGGACAGCCACTTTTCACAATCCTCTTTTGAGTTCAACTTTACACCACCAAGGGCATTCGCCATGGACAGGAACAGGTGGTAATCACTTGGCGCTACGTCCGGCTATATGGTGGATGCAATAAAACCTCCCATCCGAGCTCCCGTAGCTTCTGACGAGTCATCAACGAAGTGTGTGGTCTGGCGTTGTCCTGGTGGAACACTACACCCTTCCTGTTGGCCAATTCTGAACGCTTCTGGTCGATCGCCTGCTTCAAGCGGTCCAGTTGTTCGCAGTAGATGGTAGAATTAAGCGTCTGGCCATATGGGAGCAGCTCATAGTGGATGATTCCCTTCCAATCCCACCAAACACACAGCAAAACCTTCCTGGCCGTCAATCCCGGCTTGGCCACTGTTTGGGACGATTCACCGGCCTTCGACCACGACCGTTTTCGCTTGATATTGTCGTATGTGATCCATTTTTCGTCGCCAGTCACCATCCGCTTCAAGAATGGGACGAGTTCGTTCCGTTTCAGCAGCATATCGCAGGCGTTGATTCGGTCCAGAAGGTTTTTTTGCGTCAAATTATGCGGCACCCAAACATCAAACTTTTTTTTGTATCCAGCCTTCTGCAGATGGTTCAAAATGGTTTGGTGACTAACTCCCATCTCCTGGGCGATGTCACGAGATGCCATATGCCGGTTTAACACGATGTATTCCATGATTTGATCGGTATTTGTCGTCACAGGTCTTCCGCCGGCTGGCTTATCCATCGCTTATCATGTCGTTTTCACCGGCTCTGAATCGTCGAAACCATTCCTCCGCGGTTCGAAGTGATAGAGTACCATCCCCCAAATCACCATTAATCTCACGGAACGTTTCTCTAGCGGATTTGCCTTTAACGAAGGAAAACTTTAAAATAGCGCGAATTTCGGCGTTAGTGAACTCCATGTTTACGCGTCTATAACTGTTGAACGCAATATCCAAACTAATCATGCATAGCGTTGTTTTTTAGGTTATGTCAAGACCTTTCAAATTATGTATATGTTGCCAGATACGAGCTCTGTAGCGCTTTGTACATAGCCGCGAAATTCAAAAGACAAAAAAGCGGAAGGGAGATATTTGACAACCTTATATTTTCAAAAAAATAAAATAAAAATTAAAAACTGTGCAGTGTAGTGCATTGAATAAAATTCATTCGTGCTTGAAATTCTTTGATGAAATTTTAAATTTTACTATTTAATTTGAAGCCAATTTGCTCAGATGACACTCTCAAAAGAATTTCTCTCATCCTAGTACAATATATTATATTTAATTGCATTTCTCAGTTGCAATTAAATTGAAATGTTTTTATTTTGAATTTTTTTTTTGCACTATGTAATCAATTCAATTCAAATTTAAAATTTTTCTTTATTTGCTTTAAATTTTAAGCATTTATTTGCTTTAAAGCATTGCCGTGTGCACAAACTCATATTTAAAAAAATTTCTGCTAAATTGCACACAAAAACAAATACAACTACCTACCAGCAAACAACTTGACTTTCATCGAATATATTGGGAAAGGAAATGAATTTGCATTTGCATTGCATTTTCCATTCGAAATCGCAAATATGCGGAAAACCGAAGTGAAATGGCCTTTAGACAGTTACAAACAAATAACAAACACGTGTGTGTGTGTGTGGGTGTAGTGGGTGTGACTAAGGCATTTTCACTATACAAAATTAATTTGCTTCAAGCACGCAAAGTGTGAACTAAAAATTATGCCAACACATGAAGAAGAACAAAGACAGCAACACATATACCAAATGCATATATTTATCGATATATATTGTATTCCTAGCTGATTGTTTTGTAGCTTTAAGGCCTTAGGTGGTTCGCCTCAATTCAATCGATTCACCAATGTTATTAGAAATTTGCCAAAATTTCAATTGTTTGATCGAAAAATCATAAACAAAAAAAAAAACAACAACAAACAAAGAACAAGCAAGAATGAATAAGTAAAATAGCCTGCATGCACTTGCTGCTGCAAATATGTATGAGTTTGCGCAAGCAAGCACGTAAGCTGTCTTCCAAAGCCTTTATTGCGCTCTGAGCCCTAACACACATGATAACAGATATGTGTCTTCCTCTATGTACACACACAACTGCTTGCTCTTCGCTAGAATTATATAAAATTTGTATACACGTGTATGGGCGTGTGTTTGCTTACTTAAACGTATTATGGTCATTTATTGTTTCATGCTGTTATATAATTTGTTAAATACATAAACATTATCCAAAGCCGCCTTAATCGTTACACAATAAGCAGAGAGAAAAAATGCTTATGCAATTGCAATACCAGTGACATACGGGCCAGTAGGGATGCCACAAGTTGGTTAAATTTTTTCCAACAAAATTTTACGCGAAAATAACAAAAAAACATTTTACAAATAATCTTGATTAAAATATACCTTAATATATAAGAAATTGCACAGCCATCAACTAAATGATGCCTAAAACGTACCTATTTTAATTCTCATTACAACTTAATTTAAGAAGAACAGTAAAGGCAGATGAAAATTAGATAATGTAGAATGCTCTGAATGCCTGATAAGCCTGAAATGTAGTACGGATTTAAATTCAGTATGAATCAAAATTTCAAGTTGACTGAGTTGCTTTTTCTACTAGTGTTTAACCTTGAGTAGTCAATGATAAACCTGCTAGGGTATTGTTGATATAATAATTTTTTAGAAAATTAGTAGTAAGTACGTAAGCAACGTAAAAGTTGCACTGTCATTTGTAAAACAACTGACTTTAAAACAATTATACTACTAACTTTAGTTAGTAAAATTTTAGTAATAATGGACTTAGAAGACGTTTGGGATGCGACTTGACATAAAGGAAGAAAACTATTTCACTATGTCAATACCAGAAAGGGCACAGTTAGTCATATTCAGAACATCACAAAATCATAACGTTATTATGAAACTCCGAAAAGTTTACCATAATATATTATTCTACTTCAGCTCGAATGATTTCAATATCATTCAAGAACTTGCTTGACCTATAATTTAACTTTTTTAAATAAGAAGGTAACTGGGTCAGCAGTTCGTGTATGTTCTCTGCTTGTAACGAATCAATTTCGAATTGTGTTTCTACACAAAACCCGTTGCCATAATCTCTAGGGTATGACTCAATAAAGTTTCAGTTTAATCTTACCAATCGCTGTCTAAAATAATGATAGTATTATATTATATATATAGATTTTAATTTGTATATATTACTTTTTGAACAGTGAGACTAAAATGAATACGTCATGTATCGAACATGCGCGTAAATGTAGGCAACGAAAAGTCTCCGTTTAATCTTAAATTATTGTGATATTCAGCAATATCTATAGATATAGAAGTAGATACTTAATTTGACTATATTACTTTTTTAATTTTTTGTTATTATAGTATGTGTGCGTAACAATGTTCAACTATTTTTATTTAGAACATAATAATATATTATATAATAAAAAGCAAGCAAGAATCGATTAAATAATATAGTATTATATGAAGCAGCGAAAGAGTTAAAAAGTTACTCTCTTGTTATAACCGGGAGCTATTCCAAAATGAATGTGTAGTACTTACTGCTGGGTAATATGATATACAAATATACATATGTAGTTGTATATATATATTATTCTTATATGACATTTATTGTATAAATATATCAACGAATGCATCAGTTCGATTGAATCACTTGAAGATCAAGCAATTTCCAATTGCAGGCTATGAATACAATTTCATTTCATTTACTCTCTAAACGCATGCTCATCCTTGTGCCTGCTATG